GGGCTTAGCCCTGTTAGCCCATACATACCAGCCGTCCCTGCTAATTACTACATTTCCTTTTAAGGAATGAATGACTCCATAGCCTACCCCAGTGTCAGTGTTGTTTTGGTTGTGTGCTCTTATTTATCAAGGATGATTTCTTTTCACATTCCGATTCCAATGTCTGAATATTCTTAAGAATTAAAAGTTCATTGCTCTTTGAAAGGGTGTACTTACTTATTATGCTTATCATATCAGTGGCATGAAATGGTCTTGAAATTACAATAACATTGTTTATTGCAGTTATTTCTGGGACAATATACTGAGTAGTTATGGTGGCAGTCCTACCCCTGACTTTGACTATGTTTCAACTTAGACTTAGAATTCAAATGACTTTTTATTTGAATTAGAAAAGAGTTTAGTTCCAAAAATCAAAGATATTACAAATTTAAGAATGATTTAATAAAGTGTTATCACACAGACATAAAACATTGTGAACACATTCTTCTTTCTATGATTAACCTGTGGCTGTGGTTTAGAGGCAGAGCGGGTCGTTCCTTAATCGGAAGGTTGTGGGTTCAATCCCCAAATTGTTGTGTGAATGTATATGTTAGTTTCTATTCGATGGGCTTTGCCATCACTGTGTGAATGTGGCATGTATTGTAAAAGCGGTTTGAGTGGTCGGAAGACTAGAAAGGCGCTATATAAGTACACGTCCATTTACCTATAAAGTCAACTTTGAAGCAATGTTTGCTGATAATTAAATATTACCCCCAAATAGATATGTGAACATCAAATTAAATATTTCAGTCATTCTTTTACAAAGCTGTAACTTTACTAAATCCACTAGATTCAAAGCATAATGTGTGTAAATGAGACGATGTGGTCTGAAGACAGGTCTCACACATACAGCACGCCTCAGTCAAACAGGATAACTTCTGCACACCAGGGACAGAAATGGCGCACAACAATACACTAACACAATATGTCTGTATGTCGGACGAGCGCTGTGAGAGAATGGACGCGGCTCTGTTGAATAATACATGAAGCAGACGGAACCAAATCAACTGTGCGAGGAACTGTTGTGGCATGAATAAATGGTGCATAATTGATAGGCTCTCTTACATTATGCGTCCCTGTTCGTAAATCTCCATGTGGAGCTATGACGCAAAGCAGGTCAGGGGATCTGAGGGATACAGTGTCACTGATCTAATGATCCAGTGTTAATGCTTTATGTAAATACGCACTGCTGGCGCCGCCAGGCTCACATGTATCAATGCAAATCATCACTGGAACAAAGTACAAGGAAATATGGAGGGTATTTCTTTTTTTTTTTCTCCCAACAGGAGTCGGATTAACTAATTAACTTGTTAGATGCTACACTACAATTTTGAGAGGGTGTGTGTTACCTCGGCTGCAATTTACAGTTACACATAACACCTTTCTCTGAGTAGGTTTGCAGAGAAGTTTATGCACATTTCTACATAAGCCAAATTCTAGCCCACAGACCACCGTTACACCGCCTGAAGATAAAACTGAAAGTCAGCTACTGTGATAGTATCGTCTTTATTTGTGTCCTAGAGATTCCCGTTTTCTTAGTCATTTCCCAGATAGCGTTATACTCCTGCCTAAGGTCTCTTGTGCCTCAGGACTACACCTCACCTGCCTGCCAGCTTTTCACCAGCCGCATGCTGTAAGCCACACCCTTCCCCTCTGTCCTCTAGCCCTTTGCTTCAGCCAGCTACCTCCCCATCCCGCTACCCTTGCAATAAATCCATTTAATTGACCTTAATGCTGAGTCTGTGTCTGAGTCCAACTTTGCATATCATAACATCACCAGCCCTTTAAAAACATTTTTTTCTTTTTTCTTATTCACTTTGGTTCTTCACTTTGTCTTAACATTCTCTAAACTAAAGTTGTTACAACTGTTTACTGCATCTCTATTGCATGTCTACAAAGGGTAGTAACTCACCCAAAACATGTCATTCATGCTTCAAAATTGAGTTATCATGTCAGTAAATTGGCCAGTGCCACCAAAATGAGCCACACTGCTCAAAATGTTGTTTCACCATGGCAGTCAACCCTGGAACTTTTTTGTTGACACTACTTGTTGACTAAAGTCATATACGGCCAACAGAAAGTGTGCCACAAAACCTCCACAACAATGTAAAAACCTGCAATAGCTCAATAAAAACCAACTAAATGTACCTCCTCAAATAAACTAAATTCACATCAGTTTTATCATTGAGATTTGGATTGTTTTTCTTGTTTTTTGTTTTTTCAAAGGTATTTTTTTGGCCTTTTATTGCCTTTAATTGACAGAGACAGCTGGAGGTAGACAGTAAAGGGGGATAGAGAGAGGGGATGACACGCAGCAAAGGGCCACAGGTTCGCTGTAGGACTCCATGGTCGCCAGCTCTACCAAGTGAGCTGTCAGGGCGCCTCGAGACTTGGATTGTTATGAAAAAAAATGATTCACATTCAAGAATTGAACCAAAGCTACTTTGCATTAACGCTGGAGCTGAGCTGAGCTCCCATACACCTTTAATGTGAGGAATCTCTTTCAAAAACCATGTGTCTATTTTTACCTTACAGACAGATGGCTGCCATTAGAGGGGGGAGAGGTCATGTGAGCTTCCTAAACAGCACCATAGAGGAAAGGCTAATTAAATATATTTTTTATAAGAGAGATTATTCTGAAAATTAATAAAGTCCAGCTGTTCACTGCAGCCCCCTGACACTTCCCTGAACCTCAGCGTCAGTCCAGATGAAAACTGAATGTGAGGCCAAATACAGACACATGTACGTAGAACCTACAGTAACTTGTTATATAACACAAGATATAATAAAACAACAGATAAGGACCCTCAAATTAGAGGTGAACAGTTCTCACCAGTTCCCAATAAACTGTGCAAGTTGGGATTCTTGCAAATGCCACGAGGAGCACCAGGAGGAGCCAGAGGAACCTGATTTTTTCAATGATTATCTGTCTCATGTTCTACTGTCAGGACTCAGGATATAGTGAAAATGTCAGCAAATATTAGTTATTTTTTACTACAGTTTTAACTGAACCTGTAAGATTATTTCTGACCCCAAAGCATCTATTTGTGTAGAAATGTCTCCAGAACTAAAACTCCATCTAATTTTGCTTATTTAAAATACAAACACTGGACAGGCAAAGCTTCAAATGCATACTAGAACATTAAACATTCAGTAACCATCAAACAAACAAACAAACAAACACGTACAGAAAACTAAGTTTAGTGAGGGTACAAGCATTATGTTGGCATGTATATGACACACGCAGACAGGTATAAACACACACAAATTTTTGAAAAGGATAGAAACACACAGAAAGAGAAGGTGCACTACCAAGGCCTCACATAAGTGAGATATTGAAGAGCTCTGTAGCAACAGACAACATAATTGTTCTAAATATACAAAAATGTGCCTGTTAATGACTGAAAATGTCAGAAAAGTGGTCTATTATTAAACCGAGTAGTGTAATCTCATCTTCAGAGAGATGTTTCGAATTTTACAACACTAATTCATGTAAAATGATGTTACATTTTTTAGGTAAGTTTTTGAGGTAAGTTTTGTTATAGTGTATTAAGTCAGTTGCTACAGAGAAAAGGTCACTAACCTATGAAGGGAATAGAGGACAGGGAGTTGAATGCATGCTGGGCCAGGCTACCATTAGCCCTGCGGTTTGGGCCAGGTCCCCCAGAGACAGGAGATGGGGTTCCAGGTGTAGGTGTCAAACCAGGGGGCTCGGGTGAGTCCACAGGTGTGGCGTAGTGGGGATGTCGAAGGACCTGAACAGGGGTTCGGCGGCCAGAGGGCGGCTTCTGCCTCAGGACCACCTCTTGATTGAGGGAAATGGGGGAGATGACCTCCCTGTCCTCACCCAGGAGGACTCTCTCCTCCTCTGATGCAGACAGGGCGGGGGTAGACTGGGGCCTGGGTACCATCCCCCCCTCACTGTCAGCAGGGCTGCTTCTGTTGCTGGGGCTCCAGATGAGGTGAGGGCCGCTGTAGCTGGGCTCTCTGAAGGAGTGGGCCTGCTGGAGGAGGTGGCCTGCTTTGCGGCAGAAAGAGGGGCTGTAGCTTTTGTAGCCCACCAGCTCTTCTTCTTTCACTCGCCTCGTTTGGGGTTCAGCTACCTGCTGACCTGACTGCCTGCCACTAGGAGGCACTGTGGCGGAGGCTGTGATGGGGGATGTCACTGTGGTTTGGTGCTGATGTCCTGCTGAGACTTTCTGCTCACTGAACTTTGTGGTTTGGGAGCCTTGTGAGGAGCGTGGTGAGACCAGTGCAGAAGCTTGTGCCAGTGTTTCCACAGAACGCCCGTAGTTGTGCTCGTACTCGGCGTAGGCTGCTAGCAGGCTTTCTGAGCACGACCTGCTTCCTGGTCCCGATACACCACCCCAGCTCCCTAGCCAATAGGAATCATGGGAGGCAGCAGCTGCCTGGTGGTGGTACAGGAGTGTTTCTCTTCTGCGATGCTCCGCAGAGTTTGTGGAAGCAGATGTAGGTCCGGGGCCGAGTGCCAACCCTAACCCCAGCTCTGCTAAACGATCCTGAGATATACTACGGTGGCGAGGGGACATGCGCTCGGCGGCCTCAGCCTGGCTGTAGTACCAGTCCGACAGAGCCTGGTGGCAGAGAGCATCGGCATGAGAGCGGGCAGAGGCTGGCAGGCTGCTCTTCCGTGGCGGAGGCAGAGTTGCAGAGGCGATGGCAGCATTGTGGTTAGCGAAGTGAAAGTCCAGCGCATTGACGGCCGAAGATGAGCGGCCACGGTGTCGCCCCAACGGAGGAAGGTGGCCACTAGAATCCTCAGGACCCCCAGGCCAGCCTGAGGTGGGGGTAGAAGTAGCAGGGGGGCGGTTGTCCAGTGGAGAGGCAGTGGGACTGGGTCGGCACTGCCAGTTGTCCAGCGGACTGTGAAGGTTGTGGCTGGGCTGCGGGGCAGCAGAGATGGGCTTGGTGGAAGGGTAACAGAGAGGCGGTGGCTCAGGTAGGTTCTGGGCCTCGCCTGAATATGGCTCATTGCCTTTCAGGTAGGCATCCTGGGAGTACGCCTGAGGACAAGAGGGGTTAGGGCACAATGTAAAACCTGACAGAACGGATAAAAGAACAAAGATGGAAGGAACAGCTAGAGGGCAGAGTGGGTCAGATGCAACATGCAGTTATATTTCTTTTGTCCTAAAAATCTGTCTTATACAACCAACACTAAAACCTTATTTGCTTTAGTAATTGTATTTGAATTTATTTTATTCTGTTGTAATTGATTGTATCTTCCACTTCATTGTATTTTTTCCTTTATCTTATCTAAAGCACTAAGCTGACAACCATATTCATTATTGGCATGTGTAATAAAAATGAATAAAATTCAATGTGTTTAATTTTTGGACAATTGTGTTACACCGCCTCCTTTCATGCATTCTTTTATACACGACTCGTAATGGTACAGTTTCTACTCATGCACAATAGCAGATTTCTGAAGTTAAACTTTAACAATCGGCTATAAGAAGTATAATAGAAATACACAATCCATGCTATTAAGTAAACAGACTAGCTAACTGCTGTGGCTTCACACAGGAAGAAGGTGAAAAGAAGGGAAGAAGAGAAAATAGAAGAAAGATAATACTCACACTTACCAACTGCAACACATCCTCATCTTTTGGCATAATAGAGAGCTCCAGAATATTTTCACTGCAAAAAAAGATCAAATATATGAAAAACATAGGTAATAGGTCAGATTTGAACATGTGATTTTTTGAACATGTGATTTATAAACACTAGTCTCCCACCTGTTTTGAATAAGTGCGATCACTTGAGAGTAGGTTTTCCCCAGAATGCTTTCCCCATTCACTTTCACCAGTCTGTCCCCTGGAGAACACACACACAAACACACACACACACATTCAGAAGAAGTAAAATATGTGTTACATGCTTTTGAAATAGGGGAACACAATAAAGCCAGAGGTTCTTCATGTGTTAATTTCTGTATTTTTAATGCACCAAACCTACTTAATCGTCATCATGTTTAGTTCCATTGACAGAGACGCTGCATTTTTCCTTTAGTAAACTGTCCGTTATTGATTTAAACATCTTTTTAAAGAGAATATTATTTGTAACCAGTGCCTGAATTGGACCAAAAAAGTTGTCAGTACCCCAGTTGACCTCAGCTCTAACCCATCTAACCATTTTCAGAGTTTTTTTCTTTTAAGTGTTAAGGAGTACCTCACCAGCATTGCTGTAGACAGGGTTTTAGAAATATCAAGGTTGAATAACTGAACTTGCTAGGGGGTGTTTGGGGATAATTATTTCACAACTTTTATTATAAACAACAAATTTTTTAAAATCTTTTATGGTATTGTATTTATTGTTTTTATTGCAGCTGAAAGCTTTCCCAACAGGAAACACCAAACAGGTTAGATGTGAAAGCACGGTTAGGTCACCAACAGTACTAAAAATCGTAGAGAGTAACTTCAGCAGTGTTTTGCTGCCCTCCCTGGTTGAAATGTTCAAGCCTGTTTAGCCTCTGACCATGCCCAGCATCACTGGTGCTGTAAGTTACTAACTTATTGATATCTGCTGCAAGAAAGATCTGTATGAAGCCTGAGAGACGGAACGCAGGACAAAACATAGAAGGAAATTCTCTCCTGTACAAACTCCACTGTATCTAATGTCTATTGTATGTCATTCATGTTTCCCAAATATTGTGTGTGTGTGTGTGT